CTGGGTGGGGCTTCTGTGTTCTGCTCCAGAATCAGCCCCTCCCTTCGAGTGTTCAGTTCAGTTCAGTTAGAGAGACCAACTGTCCTTCTTGCCTCACAATGTTGTTTTAGTTTCTCTCAGATGGTATGCTACGGTGTTACCATTTTCTTTATTATTATAGCTTTATTTGGAATATACGTGAGCCGCTTGTTTTGCTGAAAGAAAACTCAGATGAAGCAAGGTGGAATACCCTAAACCGGGGATATTCCCAGTCTGACAGGAGGATTGGTTTTTTAAAAAAATCGCCCCACTCTCCACAACATTGTGTGCAGTACTTACATAGGCTCCTTCTGTGATTTAAAAATCTTCATTGTGACTGGAATCGCAGGGGAGAGGGTAGGCAAACAAGGCTTTTGTTTAGCCCTGATGCTTGAGCTCCTTTCAACTGGGGACTGAGATCCACATTTATACAGTCAAAGCAAAAGCATGAGCTCTGGCCCTTACGTAATTTACGTGTAGCGCTGGAATTACATTTAAACCTAAGTAAATGTCAGGCAAGGATTGAACATTTGTTTCAGCCAGCTTCTGAGAGTCCTTCTCTTTTCATTGAATGCTATATAAAAGGTAAAAAAGGTAAAGGACCCCTGGATGGTCAAGTCCAGTCAAAGGTGACTGTGGGGTTGCGGCGCTCATCTCGCTTTCAGGCTGAGGGAGCCAGTGTTTGTCCACAGACAACTTTCCGGGTCATGTGGCCAGCAGGACTAAACTGCTTCTGGAACAACGGAACACCGTGATGGAATCCAGAGCACACGGAAATGCCGTTTACCTTCCCGCCACAGCAGTACCTATTTATCTAGTTGCACTGGTGTGCTTTTGAACTGCTAGGTTGGCAGGAGCTGGAACAGAGCAACGGGAGCTCACCCTGTTGCAGGGATTAAACCGCCGACCTTCCAATTGGCAAGCCCAAGAGGCTCAGTGGTTTAGACCACAACACCACCCGCTATGTAGCCAAGGTCTGCTGGGTTCCTTTAGTATATCTAACTTGCCTTTCAGGAACTGAGTTCTTACATCACCTTTATGATATTGGAGCCTCACGAGTGTTGATGCTTCCTGCCTCACCACAATAACTTGCATCACTCCAAACCACATAATAGGAGTGACCCACACTGTTGCAGCTCTCCACTCGAGCATCAGTTATTTGAAAGCTGGGGTGTATGGGGTGTAGACACAATGTGGGGGTTTTCTGCATAGTCCCAGGCTTCACATCTTACCTGGAGATTACAGGAAGGAATGACGTGGCTGCAGAACTCTATCATTGCTTTTCATAGTCTAAACTATGCACCTCCAGACGGTCTACCTGCTTGTCGGCCACCTTCCTTTTATACTTCCTGCTGTGGGTATTTTGTTCTAGTCTTGTGACAAGGAAGGAGGGAGGGCGGGCGCAGACTTTGCCTGGAGGACCCGACAAGTTGTCATTGAAGTATGAAAGGGTGTTGAGGCATTCAAATAATCAATTGCTTGCTTTTTGCCATCCTTGTTTGTCATGGAAACTATCGCACAGGAATGCCAATCTGCTTGGCAGCTGTGGTTGCTAAGGAATGAGAAGCAGGAATAGGGCACTATTAGGTTATCAGAGCCACTCATAATGGGTGCTTTATAGGAAAGCGATTAGCTCCCCCACTCGCTCTCCTCATTAGCATGCCATCACCTCGCACTGTTAGCCTGCTATTCTTTTATGTCACATGAGTGCTGTAATTTTCCTCCTGAAAATATAGGTATGCAGCTCAAAACCACCTGAATAAAGTGGGAATACTTGCTTCCTTTTTAAGTTAAATTACCAAGGCTTGTGAACTTGAATGCCTTTATTCACCTACTTAAAATTTTCTGTGAAAAGTAGAATCTGTGCCTTTGAATGCGGCATGGCATCAAACAATGTGAGGATTAAAAGTGCCACTATATTAGTCACGCTACGGTTGAGTTTATACAACTGATTTCCTTACAGGGTAATATTCCCAGGAGGAGACCCTTGGTTATAGAAACTTTTCCACTGTCAAGCCTTGGGAAAACCACTAGATTTGTTCTGGGAAAAACTGATCCTTGGATAAACTTGCAAATTAACATTGTCTCTGTTAAATTGTGTGTGAACCTAAATACATAGCCAGGCCTTGACTTATTACCGTATTTTTCTGTGCATAACACCCCCCCCCCGGTGTATAAGACGACCCCTATTTTGGGGGACCCAAATTAAGGAAATGGGGGGAGATTGCTTAGAGTTGAGCTTTTTTTGGGGGGGGGGAATTGCTGCCAATCGCTCACCCTCCTGACTGCTGATAAGCAATTGCACGCCACGCTGAACTCAACAATTGTCTGCCCGCTCACTACCAGTGTCCACCATTTGCCCACCCAATTACAGCAGCCAATCGCCAGCAGGCCTTGCCGCAGCTACTAATCACCCGCCCAATCACCACTGACAATCTCCTGCTCGTGGCTGACACCAATCGCCCTTCCCCCCTCTGCACTATCTGTGTATAAGACGACCCCCAATTTTAAACATTTTTTATAATAAAGAAACATCGTCTGATACATGGAAAAATGCGGTACATAGGGAACGTTTGGCACCTTTGAGGCTTATGAGAATGCCAGCTGCCCTGCTAATGTGTCCAACATTTCTATGAAAGTGTAGCAACAGTTCTAACATTAGAAACATAAATCACCTTCACACATTATAGGTGTGAAAGGGTTCCATGGATTTCATCCAGCTATGTTTTACACAGAGCAGACTCACTGAAATTAATAGACCTCGGTTACTTTGGTTCATTAATTTCAATGAGTCTCCTTGGAGGAGAACTAGCTTTCAATGCAACCCTATGTGTTGAAAGCAGTGTTCAAAATTCCCCAGGCACCAGGCACATTTTGCTACTGGTGTTGGTCCAGTTGTAACTATGTAAGGTAAAGGTAAAGGAACTCTGGAAGGTGAAGTCCAGTCAAACATGACTATGGGGTTGCGGCTCTCATCTTCCTTTCAGGCCCAGGGAGCCAGCGTTTGTCCACAGACAGTTTTCTGGGTCATGTGGCCAGTAGGACTAAACTGCTTCTGGTGCAACGGGACACTGTGATGGAAGCCAAAGCACATGGAAACCCTGGAGCCAGCTGACTCGTGCGCAGCAAAAGACACACATCTTTGCTTCTGTGCTGCTGTGTCTTAGCCCTCATTAAGGAAAGGAAGTGTGGGGCTGAGTACAGACATCTTTGACTGTGCTGCAACCTTTCCAAATGGAACTCATAGACCCCAGTCTAAAAACCTCTTCCCTAGCCCAGAGTTAATGCCATTTCCATTTCCGCTGTGTGCGTTTCTTTCTCCTCCTTGCATACTGGGGCTGCGGGAAACCTCTGTGCATAGATCTCTGTGTAGACCGAAACCTTGACTATGTGGTCTCCCAAATCCTATGGAAGACTTCCCCATGGTAGATGCCCATGCCTAAGGAGTGGATGTCAAGGTTGAGAGGTGGAGCCTGGGGGTGGGAGCATTGGGGGGGGGGTAGGAGTGGCCTGACCCCCATTAATTTATTTGTTTATTATTTATTAAATTTATATACCACCCTTTCTTTGAAGGCCATAGTGTGGACTCTCCTCATGCATATAGCATGTGATAAACACTTTCCACTTTCGCAATCCATGAAAAGTCCAGGGTAGTAATAGAAGGATTTCCCTCCTTTTTTTGGATGAGGGGAAGCTGGAAACTTATGCTCACTTGTGATGTCTGATTTATTTACAGGTATATGTTTACAGGGACGCGGGTGGCATTGTGGGTTAAACCATAGAGCCTAGGGCTTGCCGATCAGAAGGTTGGCGGTTCGAATCCCCACAACAGGGTGAGCTCCTGTTGTTTGATCCCTGATCCTGCCAACCTAGCAGTTTGAAAGCATGCCAAAAAGTGCAAGTAGATAAGTAGGTACCGCTCCAGTGGGAAGGTAAATGGCATTTCTGTGCACTGCTCTGGTTCGCCAGAAGTGGCTTAGTCATGCTGGCCACATGACCTGGAAGCTGTATGCCAGCTCCCTCGGCCAGTAAAGTGAGATTAGCGCTGCAACCCCAGAGTCATCCGCGACTGGACCTAACGGTCAGGGGTCCCTTTACCTTTAACTTTATATAAGCAGAATGGGGGTGGGGCGGGGGTGGGGCGAGGACTCTGTAAGAGTACAACTGCTATGCTTACACCACTTTAAAGTCAGATTACAGCTTGGGTAGGCAAAGTAAGGCCTGGGGGCCGGATCTGGCCCAATTTCTCGGACGGTCCGAGAATCAGAGTGTTTTTACATGAGTAGAATGCATCCTTTTATTTAAAATGCACCTCTGGGTTATTTGTGGGGCCTGCCTGGTGTTTTTACATGAGTAGAATGTATCCATTTATTTAAAATGCATCTCTAGGTTATTTGTGGGGCATAGGAATTCGTTCGTTATTATTTTTTCCAAAATATAGTCCGGCCCCCAACAAGGTCAAGGGACAGTGGACTGGCCCCCTGCTGAAAAAGTTTTCTAACCCCTGGATTACAGCATCACCCAGCAGTCAACCTAAATTTGACATTCAAAACTCTTGGTTCTCTGTCCAAACTTATTTTGCTACTTGCTCTCCTGTGAAATACAGAGGTGTTGTAAGATAAGTTTCCAGTCACCGAGAAGCATGAATGTGCCTTTTTGAAACTCTGTGGCCACCCATTAGTTGTTGGTTTAAAGTAATCAGAACAACCAGTTGCAAAAACTCTGGATTCATTGCTGTAACTAGATGGTGTTCCAGGGGCCAAGGGGTGAGAAGAGATGCAAAGCAATGCAGTTGAATTTCTGGCCATAGTAACTCCCTGGAAATATAATGTTCGAAGATGCTTCTGAATTTTACAAAGTAAGTTTGTGCTTGTGGTTTTTATGCTGGGCAAACGCCGAAAGGCCATGTATGTAACTGTCATGTCTTTGTATTTAACATGCTAGGATCAGCCCCCTATCTAAAGTTTTTCTTTTCTTTTTAGAGTACAAGTTGAATTCTACATGAATGAAAACACATTTAAAGAGAGGCTAAAGTTATTTTTCATCAAAAACCAAAGATCAAGTAAGCATTTCTCTCTCTCTTACTACGTGTGGGTGTAATAGTGCTTCCTCTAAACCTGGGTTTCCTAAACTTGAGTTGCCGTCTGTTGTTGGACTACAACTCCCATCATCCCTAGCTAGCAGGACGAGGGATGATGGGAACTGTACTCCAGGAACAGCTGGAAACCAGCATTTGGGAAACCCTGCTCTAAACAATAATGCTTGCTGATGATAAGAAGTGGTTATGTGTTACATCACTAGGGGAATATAGTCATGTTCATTACTTTTGATGGGTCTATTCTGAATAAATATTAATTGATTGCCACCCTGTGTTCCCAAATTCACATTCTGCTTGTTAGTTGTTTGTTGCTTATGTATTTAATCAATTTAATATTTGCACAGCCTCAACAATGTCTTAATGCTGCAAACTTTCCTCATCCCATGCTCTTTTAATATACAGTGGTACCTCAGGTTAAGTACTTAATTGGTTCCGGAGGTCTGTACTTAACCTGAAGCATTCTTAACCTGAAGCGGACTTTCCCATTGAAAGTAATGGAAAGTGGATTGATCCGTTCCAGACGATGAAAAAGCACCCCCTAAAACAGCAATTTAACACGAATCTTACTGTTTCATGAGGCCATTGATCCATAAAATGAAGGCAATAATCAATGTACTGTACTATAAAATAAACAAGACATTATTTTAGATGAAAAAAAATAAAATTTATTTCCAAACTCACTGTTTGGAGGGGGCTCAGGGTCCTCTTCCACAATCACAGTCGGCTTGGTTCCCTGCATTCGTGGAGGCCTCAGGGAGCTCCTGCAGCTTGAGCCCAGTTGCAGAGCCTCTGCAGGCACTGTGGATGCTGGGGCTCGGCTCCCGACATCTGCAGAGCCGCTCTAGGCACCGCAAATGTCGGGGCTTGGCTCCCGGCATTCGCAGAGCCGCTCTAGGCACCATGGATGTCAGGGCTTGTCTCCCGGCATCCGCGGAGCCGCTCTAGGCAGCAGCGAGGCCTCCAAGAGCTTGGACAACTTACTTCCAGGTTACAATCGTTCGTAACCTGAAAAAACATAAGTTGAAGCGTTCGTAACCCGAGGTACCACTGTATAACCATGATGCTCTATAAAAATCCAGGTGCTAAAGACAAACAGATCTAGGCACAATGCCACAATAAGAAGAAAACCTTGCTTTTTCCCCTCTCTTCAAAGACTCAATTTATCTAAAATGCACTGTTTGGGGGGTCTTTTTTTTGGGGGGGGTAGCAGGTCTCTCACTATATCTTGGCCAATGGAACATTTCTGGAAGTGCAGCCTACAAACTGTGCCAGCTTTAAGATAGCTGAAGTAGGCAGCTTCCTTTCATGGCTGCCAAGAAGTATAGGAATCCAGCCAGATATTCTGGTGGATATTTCTACAGCAAGTTGAATATGAGAGAGTCCAAGTCAGACCAATGCCCCAATTACCCTACCTAGTATTGGACTTCTGGAGTTCCAAGCATATATATCCTTTTTAACTTGCATTCCTGAGCATTGCATTTGGGTCCATCCACGAAGCGTTTCTCTTATGCACTCACACATACAATTAAAAGTTACATCGTTTTTCCTATTAGATGTAATCCTCACTCCCTCAAGTGAATTTTTAATTTTAAAATCTGCCATTCTAGGGAAACCTGTAAACACTCTCCACCTATTCTGTCTGGTCTTAACCTCTTTATGACACAGTCTCAGTTTTGAATGCAAATTCTACAATAATGCTATAATTGTTTGCTTGTATCAGAGTCAAGCTAAAGAAGGTTCACCCATCAGTAGCTTCCACGGAGCTATTTTTGTGGGACTTTGAGTGTTATCCTTAAGTTACGTTGAAGCCACTTGAATTGCATCTGAATGTCAAGTCACTCTTAACCACTTGAGTTCAAGGGTATGTTTGTTTTTTTAAAATCAGTTGGAGATTCTTCATGATTCATAAGACTGTATCTGGGATTCTTGGAAACATATGCTTTCTGATTTTATATATACTTAATGAAAAACGTTCCTATACCACTCACCCATAAAACATGGCAGCAATCATGTAGGCAGTAGCCATTTTACATGTGTCCAATTGACACGTGATCATGCACATACTTGTCATTTGCAACACAAAGGTGGCCATAAAACAGAGCAGAACAGGCTGAGGCTGGGCTTATGCGTGCTCCACCGACACAGACGGGGGTCAGGAACAGAACCCCCAGGCAAAATGTAAAAGCAGCACAGAACATTTTAAACAACAGCATAGGCCAGTTGACAGAAGGGGTGGGGAGTATTCAAGAGATGCTTGAAAGTCAAAAGCATGGATGCCTGATAAATTTCTGCTAGGCATTCAAAGGGAAACCAAAATGCTTGTTTACAAAGCTATTGTACTACCAACCTTACTGTATGCTTGTGAAACGTGGACCACTTATAAACACCATCTCCAGCTCCTTGAAAGATTCCATCAACCGTGTTTTCGAAAAATTTAACACATCCCTTGGGAAGACAGGCGAACTAATGCAAGTGTACTGGAAGAAGCAAAGATCACCAGTGTTGAAGCCGTGATTCTTCAACATCAACTTTGTTGGACTGGTCATGTTGTGTGGATGCTTGATTATCGTCTTCCAAAGCAACCACTCTATTCCAAACTCAAAAATGGTAAGCAAAATGGTCAACAAAAGACGTTTAAAGAGTCTCTCAAGGCACATCTTTAAAAAATGTAGTATAAACACCAACTACTGGGAAACACTGGCCTGCGAGTGCTCCAATTGGAGAACAGCCTTTACCAACGGCGTCATGGGCTTTGAAGACACTCAAACTCAGGGTGAAAGGGAAAACGTGCTAAGAGGAAGACACTTGGCAAACCCTCACCGTGATCAAATCCCACCCAGAAACTTATGTCCCCACTGTGGAAGGATGTGTGGATCCAGAATTGGCCTCCACAGTCACTTATGGACCCACTGTTTAAACCATGTTTATGGAAGACAACCCTACTTGGCTATGAGTGATCACCAAAGAAGAAGAAGAGAGGAGTGTTCCATAGCATGGGGCCAGCAACGTTAAATGTCTACATTCTAGTTGAGGCTAGTCAGGCATCTGAAACATGGTGGACCACCAACAATGGTCCTCTGGATGATCTCAGTGATCAGACTGGGATATATTGGGCTGGGATTTTAGAGCCCTCACTTCTTCCAGACATTTCAAGGCAGTGCATTGTCAGGAGCTGGAGTCAGGCGTAGGTCAGCAATAAAACAATAAAGAATCCAATGTCAGTGAAGCTAACTCTTTATTCAAAAAACAAAGCAGCTCAGTCCTAGTGGTCTTGCCCCAATAAGGCAGCTGTGGCAACAGAAGGTCCCTGCCTTCCCACCACTCTCTAAAGCTGCTCCCCTGGTAACTTCCCCAGAGCCTAAGACTCCATCATCTTGTCTCTCATTGTTCTGCTGTCTTCATTTCTCCGCATGTTCTGGGAGATCAGCGGGGTGGAGAGCTATTCATAGCAGCAGGAGGAAATTCCCTAGATTCTCCAGCTGCCTGCCTCATCTCTGTCTCCTGGCCCCCCTCCTCCCCTGCCTCTGAGTCTGGACTGCCTCTTCCTGCTCACTAAACCTGGTTACGTCTTCAGCTTCCATCACCTCCTCCTCCCAGTCTGTTCCCTCTTCTTCCTCCGACCATTCATTGTCATCCCACCATCAGTCCCCTGTCTCTGAGCCTCCTTCCCAGTGGGGTTCCCCAGCTGGTATCTCCCACCACTCCTCTGCAGTCAGCTAGTCCATGACATGTATGCTGTCTTCTCACACGGTCTCTTGACTGAGCCTCAGATCACACTAGTTTTCAGCAAGGTTGCTGCCTTGTGTGTCTTTGAATCATGTACTGGACCTACTGTCAATGCTTCTTCAGTTCTTAGTTCTGCCTCTCACATTAATGTCTTAACTATTTTATTTCTTTTATAGTTGCAACCCAGACTTTCTACTCAGTCACCACATACAGATTTTGCCAGAGCCAATTGTTCAAATATTATGCAGAGTATATAGCCTTTCCCCATTTATTTATGTATTTAGGGAGTCAAGATTTTCATTACTTACACAATAGCAAAACAACAAAAACCTTCGCCGGTGTAATAGCCCTCCCTTTCTGCATCTGCTCTGCATCTCCTATGCTTTGTTCTGATTTTTATACTACTTTCAGAGCCAAATTTTCATTAAGCTTCAATTGAAAATGCTTAGGTGTGAATGCTCCCATAAACAAAGGCAAATTGAGACAGGTAATTATGCAAAGGTTATTTTTGATAAAGGGGTAGTGACTGGAGCTTGAAAAGATAACTTAATAGAATCTCTAATTCTGCACCTGTGCACATACATTTTTTTCCAGCTTTTGCCAGTTTGCAGAAGGAAAATTTCCATTTGCAAGTGCTGTTTGAATCCATCACTAGGGTTTGCTGTCAGTGCCGACAAGGAGATTGGCACTGACAGCCAGTTCCTTTGAAGCTGTCACCTGACATCGTAATGGCATCAGTAGTCAAAATGGCCTGTGGGGTTGCGGGAGGTCAGGATCCAGCCCGCTAGCTGGAAAAGGTTCCTCACTCCTCTGTACAGAGGAGCTAAAGGGGATTTTGCAAGATATGGACACAGCATGGAGGCCACTGCAAATCATTCCCTTTGATGACTTTCATCCATCAGGGATGTATCCGTTTGCTGTGCTGATCAGGGAACATTATCCACACCACTATAGAACTTGGACATCCTGTGATTTTTGGAAAAGTCATTCAATCTAAACACTGAACAAATGTGTACAAACGTCACAAATGGCCACTTAAAGTGACCTTCCCATGGTGGGTGAATTGTGTGCCTGGGCCAAAAGCAGGTAAGAAAGATATTGAGCCAAGTGATAATTGTGCTGTAACATCAATTGTTTCATTAGACAGGTAATCCTGTAAAATTCAAAGGCTCGCATAGAATCCTCTGACAAAATCGATCCTAGACATTGTAATTAAACTTGCTATGCCTCGGAGCTGA